ATAAATCCGAATTAACGGCCAAAGCCCCCTCCATAGCCCCCATAGCCCCCATAGCCTCCTCCATATCCGCCATATCCGCCACGACCAAACCCGCCATGTCCGCCACGACCAAACCCGCCATGTCCGCCACGACCAAACCCGCCAAATCCGCCACCACCAAACCCGCCAAATCCGCCGCCATATCCGCCACCATATTGGCGTTTCGTGCGCACCAGTTCACCGTCCAGATCCGCAGCTGTGCTGAATGTAACAGCTAGAAGCACAGCTAAGGCGAAAACAAACATTCTGAGTGAGCCCATTTCTATTTTCTTATTTCTTGTCTTAATTCACCAAATATCTTCGACTGAAATTGTTTACAAACAGTGCAACACTTTTATACTGGCAAGACCTTCGCTTGTGTCTATGGTACTCATTCAGATCAAGAAAAAATCCCCAGTTTTTGGACATTTTTATAAACAAAAAAAAAAAATAACTCGTTAGGACAATTGCAAATTACTTAAATACCTGATCAGTTTAACTTGTGCGTTCTAGCTTTGGAAGGCAATTAGCACCAACATTTCGATGCATACATACATACAAATGTACATACATATATGCACATTAGAGTGTCTCACCCTACATGGAAAAGAAATCAGGTTCCTTTCCTTAAACGATCAATCACTAAACGATTTCAATTGTTCTCAGCGTTATGTCTGATCTAAACAGAGTTGAGAATACAGATAAAAAAAAAATAAGTTTGTGGGATAAAATGTGTATGTACATATATACATACATATACATATATATAGTATATGACGGATGAAAATATCTCTTTCAGGGTACCTTAATCACCAAAATCAGTTCAAATATGGCTGAGCTTTTCAAGTTTATACGATAGTTGCATTAAAAAACTAACGCAAACTATTTTGGAAAATAGTTTTCCAGCTGGAACTAGCAGCTTCTGATCAAAATTAGATATCGCTAGCTTAAGGTTCTTTCCCTAACAATCTGGACCAGATCCGGTAATTATAGAATAAGCGAAGAGTTTGCCCTCAAAAGTGGAACAAAGTTTAGAAGTACGGGAACGCAAAAAACCACATTTCGTGGCCAGAATTTGAGAAACAGCTGATTCACGTTGTTTTTGTTTTTGTCACACATGCAAACACTTGGAAATTGAATTTCGGTTCCACAAATTTAATTTTAAGTATATAAAGATTGAAAATACATCAACAGGACGTTCACTAGTCCTTAAAAGCACCCAGTAAATGCAGGCTACATGTAAACACAAAACAGCTGATATCACTTTGACACTTTATCCATTTTTACCCGGAGAAAAAGTGCGGGCCTTTTTGCGCAGGAAGAAGAAGACACTTACGATCCAATACGTCCCAACTTTTGCTCTCTATTACCCATTTTGTTGAATACGGGAATGATTTCTGGGCTGTTTCTGCAGCGTTTCAGGAGTGTAAAAACATTTTTTTCGGCACCCTGTAAAAAGATCTAAACCGCATTTTTATTTGATGTCCGATTTCTATAAATTACATACCGTTGGAAGGGTAATAAAAAAACTTACTTCTTCAGAGACGATTATCCTATCATTTCAAACTAAAAAGTTATAATTCTTTTCCTAAAAAGGGCACCCTGTTATGTACGCGTATGCACCTGTAGGTTTCCTTAATAACTTTACAACGATGAATCACTTATAGAAATTGGACATCAAACAAAAAAGTTATAGATAAAGTCGATTTAGATGTTTTTACACGGTCGCGAACAAAATTTTTAGTTTCCTGAAGTACTCTCATAGGGAAATTTAACTTTTTTTTCGGGCCATACACCGTGATACGGTCTAATGTATGCATGTGCATGTACATAAGTATGTAAGCAAGTGTGTAAATAAATTATTACTGTACTGAGATTATATGTATGTGCACAAATACTTAAAATTGCAATAATAATGATGATGACATGATGACAAAATGAACACAAAAAAATTAAATTTTGCCAAAGTCAAAAAAGCAATGTCTAAATAATAAAAAGATTTCGGCAAAAGTTCACCAAAGTTCGCCGAAGATTCAAGAAAACCGGTTACTTGGGTGTTTCTACTGTTCAATTCAGTTGCTAGCTACACTTTGAAGTGGTTAAACATTTGGATGCGCGTAATGGATCTATTTGTTGGCAAAAACTTTACAGAAGCTACATACATAAGTACGTTAGGGTGATCCAAAAATGCATGTGAAAAAGTACATTTTTATGCTCTCACCCCCTAGGATGGTTCTATTCCGAAAAAACTATACACATCTATATACACTAGTGTTCGCCCAGCGGTTGAAATTCAACCGATAAAATTAAGGATGGTTTATGTAAGTTGAGAGAGCTAAAATAACATTAGTTGGAATGGGTTAAGTGGAGGGTAGTTTAGCTTAGTACTTGGCATAACATAACATAACCATAACATGAGAATAAATAACATAACATATGAAGCATAACACACCACAATATAACATCGCACACTCTTCAGTTGTATTTCCTTTTTATCCCTTTTTTCACCTCTATCTAAATCTTATTTATTTTGGTTCATTTTATGCCAAATGATGTTGCCTTTGATGCCACATCAAGTGATATCATGTCATGTGGTGAAATTGGGTGTGGTGAGCTGCGGTGTGGTGGAATTGGGTGTAGGAGTTACGGTGTGGTGAATTTAGGTGTGGTGGATTCAGGTGTGGTGATTTAAGTTATGGTGAGAAAGTTGAGGTATGGTGAATTTTGGTGTGGTGAGTTGAGGAAAGTTAAGGTGTGGTGAGAAAGTTAAGGTGTGGTGAATTAAGGGTGGTGGATTTAGGTGTGGTGGATTTAGGTGCGGGGGTTAAGGTGTGGCGAGTTGAGGTGTGGTGAATTTAGGTGTGGGGAGTTAAAGTGTGGTGAATTAATGTGTGGTGAGCTCAGGTGGCGTAAGTTTTTAAGTTAAGATGAGTTAAAGTTTATCCTTATGTTCATCTTCATCTTCATCTTCATCTTCATCTTCATCTTCATCTTCATCTTCAT